ACCGAAAACAAAACTAGCCGAGCTGTCTTACTGCACAAAACTTTGAATTTTCAGTGTGTTTCCAGCAGTGAAGAGGATTTTGAAAAGGTAACATGAAGACAGTGGTGCAAAAGAGATGACAGACTCGTACTACAACCTACAGTAGATGTAAACAGTGCTCTTGGCGAGTCCCAGTCACCTAACCGGCTGCGACATTTCGTGCAACGACTGACACGAATCTCAAAGTTAAACTGCAGCCAGCCTCACCTGTAAGAAGAGTTAATGGGCCTAGTTTCTGGATTTGCTGCAGATTTGTCTTGACTGTGCGAATCCTCGGTAAAAACCTTGCAGAATCCACAACTGTGTTTTTGTTTTTTACTTCCTCCTCAGGGATTTGCATTCACCGGCACAGACAAGCCCGGCTTCAGACCTGAGTTTCTGCCTCTTACCTACCTGGCAAAAATACTCTCTGATATAGAGGAACAAGGTAAAGAGAGAGTGTGAGCGTGTGTGTGAGAGTGTGTGTGTACATCCTGGTTTTAGATACCGAGGCCTTTGGAGGATTAAGACGGAATGTGTGTATTTACGTGCTCGCTTGGTCAAAATGCAGCATCATGAGGGAGCGAGGAAGGAAATGTGTGTGGTTGTGTTATAAGAAGCCGTGTCTGTCTCCTCTGTAACTCTGCAAACAGCTCAGAACCCGTTCGAGGAGCAGGAGAACGTGGACGCCAAGTTTGTGGAGGAGACGGCTCTGAAACAGACGCTGATACTGCTGCGCTTTGAGAAAAAATGAAGGATGTGGAAGGGCGACGAGGGACGCCGGGGTGGATGGATCGAGAAGGGGAAACAGATGAGGGGGAAAATGTGTTTGAGAGGGAGAGAACAGCCATCATCGACTGGGCCTCGAGGACAAGTAACGGATGGATGGATGATGGAAGGACGGGAGATGAGAGATGAACGGAAAGAGTGAAAAGGCGGAGAGCTCATAAACAAGTTCTCAGTGTTTGATGACAAATTAGGGCGGGGGGGGGTTCGAGGAGATAGACGGATGGAGACGCCCAGAATTAGAAGCAGAAGATGAGAAAATATTTTCCCACCTGCTTTGGAGGAAAAAGTGAAGTGTGAACGCACCAAAAATTAAAATAGAATCACACTTACACCTTCACTAAGTGATTTAGAACAATTTCTGGAAACTTCAAAGCTTCTCATTGAAAATCAATAAGCGCGGGCAGCTATTTTATATGAACTCACCCTCTGTAGCAGCTACAATTCTCCCCAGTGCAACTTTCTTTTAATACAATTTATGAACACCGATGTCAAATCCCGCGAACGGTATTTATAAATCAAACACACTTGTTTATCCTCCCGTGCTTCCTGTAATGCCGCTGCACCCCATCAACTTGATTACATGCTGACAAACGCTTCGAGAGGCCTGATATGGTCCGTCAGTGGCTGCCGCGCATTAAATCTGATTCCAGCACCGACTCGTGCTGAACCTCTGCAGCACAGCGAGGCTCCGGTGTTGTACACGGTTTGTACGAAGCAACAGGAACACTTAGCGCTGATTAGGGCTGAATCTGAATGAGGAGATTATAAGGAGCTGAATGATTTACAAGAGAACAACTGGAAAAATCTGAATTCTTAGGGTTAAACTAAAGCAAGTAAGATATTACTCAGCCACAAATGTCCGGATTGAATAATGTGCCCTCAGTCGGGGCTGAGCTCTTACTGTAAGTGGAGAAATTGTTGTGTGTGTGTTCATAATCCTTTTTAGAGCGCATGAACGTTGCCTACTAAACTCCAAACTATTTGCATCTCGTGTTGATTGCTCAACTTTCCTCTCAAAGAAGGGATTTCCTAATCACTGTATGTTTACACAAAAGGAAAAAAATGTCAAATGGATTGTAAATAAAGAGATGTTTTTTTTTTTCAAGCTCTCTTTTGTTGGCGTACTTTTGAGGAACACGGAGTAGAGGGAGAAGAGTTATTCTCAGTGTTGCCAGTGAATTTACTTGGGAGACTGCAAAAAAAAAAAAAAAAAACGAGAGCCAGTTGCACTCTGGAGCCTCGAGATAAATTACGAAACGATCTCGGCTCCCTGTCAGATAATTTGTAGCGTGAAAAGCTCGACAGAGGAGGAAGTGAGCTTTGGGATTCTTGAGAATACCTGAGTGCTTTGGACAGACTCAGCGGTGTTCCGCTGAAGTCAGGAAATAATCTCAGTCATCACACACACTGAGTCACATTTAATGAAGAACACACCCATCATAGTTTTCATTACATCAATGCCAAAACTCTCTCTCTCTTTTTTTTTTTTATATAACCTTGAGCTTCATCACCTTTTAGTCCACCGTTTCAAATCGTCTCTCTTGTGGGTATTTCCTCTTTTAAATGTGAACAAATCGCTCATTTCCCAGCTGATTGCCTCCCTCGCTCCTCTGTTATGCAGTCAGCGTGTTATGTATCCGGCTAACAGTGAGGGGATAAGTACGTCTGACAGCTCCCAGCATCGGGCTGCGATGAATGATCACACACACACATCACATCGCTGCGTCACATCTTAAGAAGTGGATTCACGCGGCGTGTAGCGCAAACGTAGCCTAACACGGCGTACAACAGTCGTTCCCAAACTTCAAACCAGCTACACCTTCATCAATGCATGCTAATTACTTCAACCATTTCATCTCGCTGTTTCAAACATCCATTACCTTTAGAAACTATGTGAGCAGTTTGCTAATTACTTTTAGCTATCTGTAGCATACATTTACTGATTCTATCTAACTAAGTCAACTGTCAGTCGATTTCTTTAGTTATAAAACTGAACAAAAAATGTAATCGCAGCATGTTTCTGACTTCAAGTTAGAATTGAGCTCAAAAAGTTTTTGAACTGTTTAACTGGTCACAAACTCTCAACCACTGAGCTTTGAAGGACGATGATCAGAGAGTGTGATCAGCGCAGAGACACTTCTTTGACCAGTGGCGATCAAAGGTTGCTGTAAAATTCGACTTTATTCAAATGACACCACGCTAAGATAAAGGCGGGAACAGGATGTTGGCATGTCAATATAGGCCATAGCCATGTGCTTGAAAGTCCACAAATACACCATCTGTAGTCTAAGAAATTGTTACGGTATGACAAACATGCTGCTGCATTCCTACAGACCACCTACGCCAGGATCGCCGCATCTGGTTCGTCCATCGACAAAATCATTCGTGATCAGCTACTGAGGCAACAGACTATCTGCTTAAACTGCGAGGAATCGTCTGAGGAAAGCTGCTTTGTGATCTCGTTGCCAACACTGAGTTCATGGTCTGACAACAGCATGGTGTCCTAATCAGCTCCAGTTGGAGTCTCATATTCGTTGGACGCTAGCAAGATGGAAAAACAGCCCTTTTCAGTGATAAAGCTTGTTTTCAGCTGTGCATTTGTGTCAATGCTGCATTTGCGTCTGCGAAGGCAGAGGAGTGACGACATGGACGAGGATATGACATGCATGTCATCAATGGCAGTGTCAATACCCAGTGGTACAGAGAGGAAATCCTCACACCCATGGTTATCCAGTTCATTCATCGCCATCATTTGCAATCGTAACAAACGTACTCAAATCTCCAGCTGAAAATGTTCCACTCCTACCACGGCCTGCATGCTCTCCTGACATATCACGCATCCAACAAGCTCTGAATATCTGACAACGTCATCCAGTCCGCCAAAATGTCCATCAACTCCACACAGCCCTTCAGGGGTTCCACAAGCAGCATCAAAAACCTCATTAACTTAACGCGTCACAGATGTGTGGCCCGTTACTGACCCGTGTTTTCTAGTCAATGACCGCACTTGGAATTTGCCCATTATCGTGCACACTTGGTTTATTCTTGACGTCCGTTCTGTTGTGTGCGTTGGAATAACAAAAAACTTCTCCCTCTGTGTTGAAAAGAATCACATTCAATAAAATATCACATGCTGCACCAAAACTATTTTTACCTCGAGCTAAGATCAGAAGACGGAGAGACTTCCAGTAATATTTTTTTTAGGAGTTTTTGGAGTGGAAATGTTCACTAGTAACCAACACTGAACTCTCCACCCAAATTAGAGCTCCGCTTTAATGTATTTCTGCCTTTGACTCTCCTCTGCTGCCTTTTCTGACTGCCATTGCTCATTCCACTTCATTTAAATTCTCCTCTCTCTTTGTCATTCTCTATGCTCTTTCAGTGTTTGAGCTTCCTCTCTGTATTTACATTTATCATCTCAGGCATTAAGGAGGCACTCCTAGCCTTGCACAGAGCTTAAACCCATTGCAGTTTATTCAAAGATTACAAGCGTGAGGGATGAAACAGCAACAAGGCTCAAGGAGAATATGTAGAATTACTCCGGCGTCCCTGAGAAATGAATTTATCTCGGCGAGCAAGGTAGTAAAAACAGCCGTGATGTGTTGCTACAATACAAAACTTAAGTGGTGAACATTATGAAACAATACGAATTTCATTTCCCCTGTTTCCGACGATTTCTTTCCCACTTTCCTGCAGAATTTAGTGTTACTGCGGGCTGAGTGTAAACAAGCTATTCCCAGTAAATTTCAAAAAAAGGAAAAAGACAATTAAAGCCAGATGCAGTTCACAAGTGCACGCTCACATGACAGGGCAGCAGTGGTATGCTGGACAGAGAGGACACAAACATACACAAGAAGCAGAGAGGAATGAGCCAAATCGCAGAAAAATGCACTGCAAAACATCGTTAATAATTAAAACGGTCATTGATTTTTGGAAATCTGTTGATTCCTCAAGATAAGATTAAGTGTTTTTGAAGGACACTGATGAAAACAGTGTGGATTATGAGCACTTAGTCTTACTGTGCATTCGCTGCTTTCTACATCTCTAAGGGCTTGAGCGTTGGTTTGCGGATGTGTCTCATGTTGGCGCCCGGTTGGGAGGGTTTGAAGGGAGCCTGGGCGCCGTAGGGTTTGGGCACCGGGAGCGGGTCGCTCTGGGGGATGTAGGCGTTGGGGCGAGCTTCGGCCATCGTGTATTCTCCGTTGGGCAACTGGTTCCACTCCTCTTCTTTGTCAGGCTGCACACACAAACACAAACACACAGCTGAAGCCGTTTTAATATTTAACGTGGGTTTGCGTGACCTTGGACTAAATACTTAAACTTTAATTTTCCTGAATTTTAATCAAGTAAATGGAATAATCAATTCTGCAGTTTGTTTATTTTTTTTTAGCTCTCAAGACAAATGCAAGGGCACTGGTGAAGAACTTCACTCAAAACAACAAGGCCGAGGAAACTTTGATCCAGGGTCTTTAGTCGTAACAGCTTTAGCAGATGAAAACAGAAGTGACGGATAACAGCGACGGATTTTGTGTTTCACTGAATGAATGCAGAGTTAAGAAACAACAAATCGTGTAAATGTTGAAAGTAAATTTGGATGACTCAAGGATCTCCGACAGTCTGGCCTGTGTGACGCCGTCAACCTCCATTAACAACATTTCTTGTTTGTTTAAACCCAGTTCTGTGTACTTGCAACTCTAATAGAAAAAGAAAAAAAAAACAGCTCTGTTTTTCACACACATACACAGTGGTGTAGTGGAGTGATTCTGTCGTCTGCCAACCGTCTCTGCCAGAAAGATGACTGCTGGGTGATGGAACACGCGACACTAATTGCACACAGCTTGTGATTTCGCATTGGAATCTCGCCACAGATGCTCAATTCCTAATACTGTGAATGCAAGAAGTTTCACATAAATCCATCATAAACTCATAGACTCAATTACTATGGTGCTGACCTCCTGTGGTGATAGAGAGTGACATTTACTTCAATGCAAATCTTCAAGATTTTAACTTTAAAGCGTTGTTTGCTTTGCCTGTACACATACCCTCAATCTAACCAGTCGGAGCAGACGGCTGCCCGTCCTGAACCTGGTTCTGAAGTCTCCTCCTGTTGAAAGGTAGTTCTATGAGGTGTGTCACAGGACTGGTGTCACAAAAGATCTATTTCAAACCCAAACCACAAACTACAAGTTTTCCCCTTCAGATGATCAACCAGCACGTCTATGAAGAGATTCTGCAGCGTTTGCTTCATTGGAGAAGAGGCAGAGTTGTGGCAGGACAAGTTGTAGCTGCTTCACCATGACAACGCGCCTGCTCACAATGCCCTGAGCATCCCACAGTTCCTGGCTGAGAAGAACATCTCCGTGCTGGAGCAACTCCCTACTCACCCCACCTGGCTCCGTGGGATTGTTTCCCCAAGCTCAAGGGGGTCATCAAGGGACCCATTTTGAAGACGTGGACGACATCAAGATGGCTGTGACGACGGAGCTACGGAGGATCCCAGAAGAATCCTTCCAGGACAACATGGCCTGGGGAAGTGTGTTCGACTCCAGGGGGATTACTTGGAAGAAGAAAACTTGTAGTTTGTAGTTTGGATTTGACATATATCTGTTGTGACACCAGTCATGGAACTTTTCTGACACCTCGTACTTGTCCATTGTTGCAAATATGCTTGCTTACAGGGAACCTTTGGATGCATTCAGTTTTCCATTTATAATTTTATAGTCCTAACTTTAATTTTTAAATTAATCAGGTCAATCTCCATTAGTAATAATACTATAGGGTCTTAAACCCTCCCATTTAATTTAGTCAGGCTAATTTGTATTTGATCTAATTTTGTAGGGGTTTAACCGTAACATTGAGGATACTCAGGTAAATTCCCATCATAAATCACACTGTAGGGTCCTGTTTTATCTTCTGGAAAGCACTTTAGGTCAACGGCTGTTGTTTTAAATGTGCTATATAAATAATCAAACCAAGCCTTTTACGAGTTACCTCTTATCTCAATTCACTAATTGTACATCCTCGATTCCTTATCAGGACTCCTCTCCTCACGGCTTAGTCTCTCCCACCAGAGATGCAAGCAAAGGAGGTGAGGAAGAGACACGAGTTCGAGAGGAGTCGAGGCAACAGATATTAAACAAAATAAGACATCTTCGCCTTGGAGCTGTTATTTTAAAGCAACGTAAATAAAATATGAGGTGTGGCGCAGCTGCATCATCTGTCCGTTGTTTTGTTCTAACCTGCTGCTGTATTTTAGGATCTCTGTCTGACAAACAGAGCAGTGTTCTTGACAACTTCAAGTGCGTATTTACTTTTAATTTGATTCGCAACGTGGCAGAATGTGAAGAGAATGTATAGATGCCAGAAAACTGTATTTAGAGTCACGGCACACAAAGAAGTATTACACAAATAAAGAGCGACACATATTCAGTTTGTGTGATATATTGATATTTGGTAGTTATATATCATATGTACACATTTGTTGGTTCTGCTCCCCACATGGCTTTTTATATTCCAGCTGTCTGTCTCTTAAACATAGCGAGTCCAGAGAAGACTTAATCGAGGACACAGTGAGGATACACCTGTTCGTCCTCGCTCACAGCTCCTCCAGCAAACCTCCATGAGATGCTTTTTAGGAACTAAGATATTCTTTGTGATGGCGCACCATGATTAAATTTCAATTAGTGAAATGAGATGAGTCTTCAGTGCCTTGCTCAATGGCACCAGTTATTGCTTTACAAGGTTTTGGAGTACATGCTGTAACTTTTCTATAGCAGCTGCCAGTTTTGTCGTCATTATTAGATTACAAGCTTAACAGCCAATTTTTTTATTTTTTTTTTAAAAGGTGTCATTTTTAAACATATTTAAACTTCTCTACACATTAAACCACAAGATTTAAAGCTCACATATTTCACTACTTTCTAATAAGTTAGTAAAAGTCCCACATGTCCAAAGAGTAAGTTTTTTAAGTTTCTGCACAGATCATTGATTCTACCGTGCTGATAACACCCTGGTCTTTGCCCTGATTCAAACAGGATGTTCTAGTGTCTGTGGCTTTCATAGCAACCTGTTGTGACATCACAAGAGGCTGTTCGGAGACAAACTTTCTTATCTGTAGAAAAAGGGACAAAATCAAGGTATGCTGTGTTTTCCAGACACACAAGGGACGTGGGATCATGATCAAAAACAAAGACAAACCTGGGTGAAGCATCTTGCAGCTCCTTTAACATGTTAATTAGTAGACAAGACTTTTGCAGATTTTTGAAGTTGGGACACAGCCAGGCTGCTTCCCTCTTCATGCTAGGCTACATCTAAGTGCCTCCTGCTCTGTTGACGACACGTAAACACCTCAAACACACCGATCTCGCAGTTTCTGCCCAACATGCGGAAAGCTATCATTAAGAGGAATTCCTTGATATACATTTTAACCCTGGCTGCAAAATTTCATTCCTCCTCTAATAAAACTGCAACATGGCTCATAGAATACTGACAGTGGCTGGCAAAATTGATTTGAAGCCATCGCGGTTGATGGATCAATTTGTAACCATGGCGGAGCGTCCTCAGGACGCTACAGTCCTCCCTTCGACTTTCACCCCGCAACGGCATGCAAATGAATTGTGCCTAAATCTCGCTGAGACTTCAAAGAGATGGCGACTTTCTCATGCATATGAACAGTTTATCCGCTGGCGTGTGATCTGAGGAGCGCGCACAAAACAAGGAATAATGGCTTTGAATGCCAAAAAAATATATATCTGCCAACAAATAAACATGCCTCTTCTGAGGTTCACGTGGCAGACGTTTAAAATGCAAGATTAATTGTGATGCCCAAAATTGACATCCTGCAGGTTTCTGCCTATTTTCTGGTTGCACTTGCAGAGTATTGTGTCATTTTGGACTTTTGCAGCAGCTAAAAGCAGGACTAGAAAGTGAAAAAAGACAGATCAGCATAACTCCAGACAGGCTGCAGACAGCTGGACTGGTTTTAGACACAACTGAGCCCTGTATGTGTGCTTTCCTTGTGTAGACAGCCGCTATTTCTGTTTGTCAGCCTTTCTGGCCATCATATCCTGTGTTTGTGCGCGTCTTGAAAATGACTGTAGTTCCCGTTCAGACTCGGTGTGCGAATAGTTTTCGCTCACGTATACTTCTTAATCGATTCCATCCCCTGCCACGCTTCTTTTCTCGGCCCTCAGTGTTTTAATCAGTTTCTGACCAGTGATCTTTGTGTGTCTCGGTGTGATTCTTTACCCTCGCTCTCGCCTCTTTGTCCTTCTGTCTCCTCTTCTTGTCCCGGAGCATCCTCCTCCACTCCTCCTCTGTCTCGGGGTACGGTGGCAGGCCCTGCTCCAGCCGCCGCTGGCATCTGTCCATCTGGAAACACAGGAGCGATGCAAGACACATTCACTTTGTATTCCTTTCACTGCGTCCGCTCTGCACTCTCCTGGCTGGATTCAATTCCGACTGCGCCCCAAAAAACAGATGGTTGTATTAGTGTCAGAATTTGGGCAAAGTTGTGCCTCTGCATTTTCCACTCGGAGCTGTGTCTGCAGCGCGCTCCAGGCAAACATCAGCTTCAGGGATTCTTCGGGTTATTAACACAAATGTCTTGAAATATTTAGGAGCTGTGTGGGAAAATCCACTCATTTTTAGTTGTTTAATTTTTTATTGAGACAGAAAGCAGCGGAACTTTCTGCTCCAGCCGGTGTCAGAATCTCAACATTTCTTGTTTCAGTGATGAGTTAAGCTGATGGCATTTTGCATTTCCTGAAAGGTGGCTAAGAATGTTCATAGTAGAAATAGAAAACAATACATTTATCAAGAAGTAGTCTCTGCAGATATGGATTTAGCCAGCTGATGAACAGTTAATAGGTAGCTTTAAACAACAACAACAACAACAACAGAAGAATGCTACGGACCTAAATGTACTTTCCTGATCTGTTAAGCAAGTTAGGACTATTTAGAGCGTCTATTTCCACAAGGTTAGCTTTACTGTTGATGCAACTCTCCAACTTCTAGGAGCAAAAACTGACTCAAATGTCTTCTCACGTGTTCAAATGTTGCCAACAGAACATTTCCTGGTTGCCATAGTTACAGAAATCCCTAATATGCTGGCTGTTAGCCTCGTTAGAAGCGGAAATTTGAATGAATGATGAAAGCAAATCACAATTCAATCTGTTAATCAGGCTCCCAAACAAAATAAATTGTGTAAAAATGAATTAATTGCTTGCTGCAGTAGTGGCTGAGTGCTCAGCAGAATTTCTAAATATTCATTACCGCTTTCACTTACTGCACCGTCACATTCTTTTATTTTTTACAAAACCCCCTTGGAGTCTTTTTTATTTATTTATGAAACTTATTACTGAATGCTGTGTTTTTGTGTCCGTGCTTTACTTCTTGATTTGTTTTACTGTGCAACTAAGCAAAATAAATGGGTTCGAGGTGAAGGACGGGACGTTGAGAAATTATTTTTCAGACACTTTTTTTTGTTTTCTTCGATCGCAGCCGGTGGAGAGTGACAAAAATAATGGGAAAGGCGGCGGGACACCGAGGGGGGAAAAAATGTGCAACCACGAGCACAGCGTGGATTTGAGAATCACGTCAGGGTGGGTGCTCAGTGTGCTGCTGAGAGGAACCAGGACCCCTCTGACCTGGAGCTCTTTCTCTTTGATCTGCTGCTGCTCAGACAAAGCAAGCGCCTGCTTCATGGAAAGCTCTGCAGAAACGGCCATCATGCGGTGGTTGGTGTTAATTATGTTGGCCCGGAGCTCGTTCAGCTGGAAGCAGACGACACACAAACAGGAACACAGGTTTTAACTCAGGTGCTAAATGCTCATCTTGATGCAAAATAATGATTATGGTTTCGTTCAGTATCATCCATGCAGCTCTTTTGTACTTATAACACTTATACGCTCTGTTACACGACTTTCGAGTGCAGCGGCTTTGCATTTCAAATTAAAATTTATCTCTATGTTGCTATTACATGCTTCCACAAGCCTCCACCAGCTTTTATTTATAGCTGCTGAGAGGGAGAGAGGAATCCGTCGAGAGAAAGCGAAGAGAACAAGCGAAACGTAATGCTTGGTGAACTCCTAAATGCCCACTCTGCACGCTCCTCACATGGACCGCACATGTTCTCTAAACAATGCGTCAGCGAATTTGCGCGAGATATATAGAGGGAGGACTGTAAATTAACAGGTGAATCATATAAGTGCCTCTGAGCCTGAGCGCGCTTTCTATTGTGTGGGAGTGTGCGTCTGTATTATCTAATCTGTGTGCATATGAGCTAAGCCTTTTCTATATGGAAGCCGGTCTTGTTGTCTACCTTCTTTGCCAGCGCGAGTCTGTCCTGTCGGCAGTTCTCCGCCTGCTCGCCGAGTGGCTTCGAGAGCCGGGTCACCTGGTCCACGAGGAGCTCTTTTTCCAGCAGCTGCCTCTCGCGCTCGGCCAGATTCACCTCGAGCTACATGTGGGGATGCAGTTATTAGTTGTGGCCTTGCACGCCGCCTTTCTTGAAATCACAACGGAAAGATTTTGTGAGGAAATAACATTGTAAAGTTGCACCTGCTCGATTTTCTTCACCAGCTCTACCGATGATGGGTCGCTGCCTTTTAGCTCCTTGTAATCGACTGTTTGATTTAGACCTTCGAGGGTCTTGTCTCTGGCTTCGGACAGCTGAGGAAAAGAAAATTAGAGGCAGAAACAAGATGAGACTAGGAGCTGACAAGTTGTGCGAGTTAACGTACAGTACGGGCCTGTGTGTACAATCGAGTTACTGTCACCGACGTCGACTAACAAAAATATCTTCGAAACCTCCCACAGGACCACACGCTTCACAAAAGGAATAAATAACATGAAAGTGTAAAAGCAAGAATCTAGTCGTCTACTGTCTGCGTTTCGAGTGTCTTGTCCTCCAGGCATTTGGGATATTTATTCCAATGGGGATTTAAAAAAATAAAATAAAAAATAAAATCGCTTAAACCCTTTCGTAGCTATATGTAGTGCCAGAGATGGCGAAGCTACTTCCCGCTAGGTGACAAGTCACTGGCAAAGAGTGATAAGAGAAACTAAAATTTAAAAAGCCACAGGATCCCTCCAGGGGGACTGTATTTAAAATAAATAAATAAAATAAAATAATTCTGACATCCCTTAAGACAGCAGAAATAGAAGCGAAGGCACAGATACACGAGGAAGCACAAAGGAGGTGACAGACGACAAGAGGAGGCATTAAAATGAAGTGAAGGGGCAGGGTGGGCGTTTTAGATTCACGCCTTTAGCCGACGGTCTTATCCTGAAACAGCTGCAATTAATGAGTGTTGAAGGGGAAGCTGGAGGTTTGCTGGAGTAAAAAATGTGGTGCTGACATGACTTAGTGATTAACTCTTTGGACGGATGACAGGAAATTACCATATAAAGCATCAATTAAAGGTAGCCCGCGGAGCTTTTGACCTCTTGTAAGGAGCCGGTCCCTGTTTTTCTTGTCTGATTTCGTACACGAGGGCGCACATGCGTGTAAACATGAACGCAGGAAACTCGATAAACATTCCTGCCACTAGTTTTCACATGATTATACTCATCTGTGGTGGGAATGGGACAGTTACTTAAATCTTAAATCTGAATTTAATCTTAACAACATTGCAACTTAGCTATAAGTATATATATAT